GAATATTTCAAAAATTCGAATTTCGCCTTTGATGTTTTCGAGTTTAGCTGGTTTTGACTTTACGCATGTGCTACGCTGGAACCAAAGGTACCATAAGTACCAAATTTCAAGATAGCCTTGATTATGGTCGAATGTTTGGTATTTGAATATTTTAAAAATTTGAATTTCACCTTTGATGTTTTCCGTGCCGACAAGGTTGTTTTCGAGTTTAGCTTATTTTGATTTCGCGGATGCGCTACGCTCGAACCAAAGGTACCATGAATACCAAATTCCGGCGAGGAACTTTTCACGTTGGTACCTAGGTACCCTGAAAATTTCAAGGTGATACCTGCATTCGTTCAAGTCGTTTGTTCTTGGCACAGTTCCAGGTCAACTGCCGTTTTTTTTTTTTTTCTAAGTCAATTTACGGCTTCTATAGGGGGAAAAAAGAGGAATTTCGCCACGACACCGGCGCCGATTGTCCGAAAACCATGAAATTTGGACACAATACGCCCATTACCACCCCGGACTCTGTGCCTTACTCCCATTTTGATCCGATTAAAAAAAGAGAGAGTTTTAGCAAAAAAAAGATTTTCGGAATTTAATATTGGTTTTAATTCATTTTGAAATTGCAAATGCAAAGAGATTTTATCGCCTCTTCCATATGTGATAGGTATTGGTACTATACACATTATCCTTAAAAGACAATTTTTTAAAATGACCGTAATGATGTATCGACACTAGAAACCGAAATCGCCTATTTTGACCTTTTTTGACTGCTGAGGCATCTTTCCGGTGGTCCAAATCTCTGGAATTTCTAGCGGTTGGCTGCGCCGCAATGATATTTATCACATATTAATAGGAGAAAATGCTCAGATATCAAGAACAATAAAAATTCGATAAAATACGGCAATTTTTTAAGCAAAAAAAAACTTTGATGGGTGGGGGTGGGTTTCGAATTTTGAACGTTCTCGGAATCCCACACTCTTCTATTTTTAATATGTGATAGCTAGAATCCCAAGGTACAGTCTGTGCAAATTTAAAGGCAATCGGACCACCCGAACGTTGCCTGGGCAGAGCAAATCAACCCCAGTCGCCAAAATTTGTTCATTCTTCAACGCTTATTATAATAGATCAATCTGGGTCCCCGATCCACCGTCACATACCAAACCACTCCGAAATATACCCAAAATCCCAAAATCGACCGTAATTTCTTTTGACTTTGTGCATGCGCCACGCTGGAACCAAAGGTACGATGACTACCAAATTCCGGCGAGGAACTTTTCAAGTTGGTACCCAGGTGCACTGAAAACTTCAAGGCGATACCTGCATTCGTTCAGGTCATTTGTTCTTGACACGGTTCCTGCCGTTCGTTTTTTCCGCCATTTACAGCTTCTGTAAAAGCGAAAAAAGTGGAATTTCGCCACGACACCGATTGTCCGAAATCCATGAAATTTGGACACAATACGCCTATTACCACCCGGACTCTGTGACTTCCCATTTTGATCAGATTAAAAAAAAGGAGTTTCAGCAAAAAAAAACAACAACCCATTTTCGGAATTTTAAATTTGCTTTTAATTAATTTTGAAATTCCAAATGCAAAGGGATCTTATCGCCTCTTCCGTATGTGATTGCTATTAGTACTATGCACATTATCCGGTCCAGTCTTCACTATAATTTGTGATAAAATTACTTATTTAAAAAAACCAGAATGATATAAAAATAAAAATGGTTGGAGTGCCCAAGTTTAGATTTGTCGTTGATTTCATAAAGATGTTAGGATATAGAACGTTAAATACTGTGTGATTCAACATGGCGGCCGAGGGGTTTAATATGATATAAGTACGAAATACATGTACATGTAGTACCAAATGGTTTACATGTATGAGAGTCAAGGTTTGGACTATAATGTCTTGGGGAAGTAGGAGGCGACTAGTATGTGCCTCTCTTTAGTGGGCCGATGTGAGATTGCCCATTGTATTAACTGGACGGGTAGGCCTATTCACCTTCGGTTATGTGTCAATGTCAAATAAGCAGCTTCTTATCAACACGATCGGCTCTGGGCCGGTTTAATTCTACGTATCTCTCGTAGCTGAGAGAAAAAAGATTTTTTAGCCGAGAGAATATCTTCCGTCAAAGTGGTTGTTGATTCATAGATTCTAATAACCCCTTTTGCAGTTTATATGAAAGCTTTGATATCTGCTATGCAGATCTAGTTCTTTTTCTTTTTGCTGCTTGTTTCTACACATCACTTTCTTCAACAATTTTGGAATCGTGATAATGTTTCATACACAGTTTTGTTTACGTTGGTAACGTGGAATGTGAGAAGTCTGTATTTACTATTAGTATTAGTAGCCTATACCTCAGTGAGAGTTTTGTCTGCACATTCCTGGAGTTCTTTGTCCAACAAATCAGCATTTGTCTCCGTGCAAGTCTGCCATTTCCATCTAATTTAATCCACTGGTTAGCACATAACTTAAATTTTTCCCAGCTTGTCACAGTGAATGGTTTTAGCTCAGTGTGTTTAACAAAATGTACACGAAGTATGCAGTTTTAGCCATCCTTCCGCCACCGTACCAAAACATAAACAAAGTGCAGGTGACCTTTCACCACACGACCTCATGAACCTTTCTTCGTGTGTGTCTGATTGGCGAGCCTTGTCATGTGATCTGTTAAAACCAAATCACCGCGAAATTCAAATACCATCGCACATTGATAAGTAAGCCTGTATTTATTTTAAGTTTTCTGCCAAACGTCAAAGAATGGATAACAGAAACATTGTTTGGCAATACAAAGTAATACTAGAAGAATTAAATGATGTACTTTTTTTTTCACTCGAAACTTGCTGGCACGGAAAAACAGAAGCAGACTAGCTAGAAAGTTGACACCACGGCCTAGATTACTCAATCAACAATCTTAACCCTGTGGATTAATTGTTAAGTATATACAAGTAGAGTATTACACATTTGCATTGTGCAATTTTGTTAAAATAAAACATTGTCCATTAAGTAAATTGCAATAACTTAATCCTTGACGTGGGAGAGAGAGATTGTCATTTCGATAACGAGAGAGAGAGAGAGGTGGGGTTTAACGTCCACTCGACACAAACTAGGTCATTTCGGGTCTACATTTCAAAAATTCGCTTGCACGTATAGAGGTCTTTAGCTGTGGGAGGAAACTGGAGACTATGTATATTTATTTAGGTGGTAATGAAATATCCGCGACACCGTCACCTGTCGATATATACCATAGAATAATTAGAATTTGTTCAAAAGTGACAATAATATTTAAAGAATTGGTGAAATTTTGACAAGAGGAGATTTTTCAAAGGAAACGGGTTAATAAGTCATTAAAAGCCAGATATAAAGATAAATTTGTGTGCTTTCCTGACATATTATACCCAAATGAAGTTTTACAGGACCGCGTGAAGAAATATAGTATAAGAAGACCGGAACTGTGAGGGAACCGCATTCATAGAACAAAAAGAAAGCCAACTTGTGTACAAAAAATTCAGAATAGTGATTTCCCAGCGTGATTACGAATATGATGCCTTTGACGCGTAGAATAGCGGCCATGGGTTGTGGAATAGGTGGCAAATTTCCTCTTGTATACGAGCAAATTTCTTTGACAAATCTCCATTTTTCAAAGAAAATTTGCTTGTGTACGACAGGCTAAAAAAAGCGATTTTTCATGTAATCAGGAGGCATAATTCCGGAAGTTATGATCCGATATGCGCGAATATCGAAAGAAACCAAGATCTTTTGGTTATAAACATGCATTTCAAGTTTCATCAAAATCAGAAGAACATTGTGACCTCCAGATTGTCCATAAGCTAAAAATGTGATTTTTCGTACAATCAGGGTCCATAATCCATGACAGGGCCGACGGCATAATAGGTCCATATGAAAAATCTTTTGGTTATAAACATGCATTTCAAGTTTCATCAAAATCAGATGAACATTGTGACCTCTAGATTGTCCATAAGCTAAAAATGTGATTTTCGTACAATCAGGGTCCATAATCCATGACAGGGCTGACGGCATAATAGGTCCATATGAAAATGTGGGCGTATAAAAAATAAGCTAAAAATGTGATTTTTCGTACAATCAGGGTCCATAATCCATGACAGGGCCGACGGCATAATAGGTCCATATGAAAAATCTTTTGGTTATAAACATGCATTTCAAGTTTCATCAAAATCAGATGAACATTGTGACCTCTAGATTGTCCATAAGCTAAAAATGTGATTTTCGTACAATCAGGGTCCATAATCCATGACAGGGCTGACGGCATAATAGGTCCATATGAAAAATCTTTTGGTTATAAACATGCATTTCAAGTTTCATCAAAATCAGATGAACATTGTGACCTCCAGATTGTCCATAAACTAAAAATGTGATTTTTCGTACAATCAGGATCCATAATCCATGACAGGGCTGATGGCATAATAGGTCCATATGAAAATGTGGGCGTATAAAAAATAGATAATGAAAAGAGAATATTTGGAAAACTTCAGTTAAATTACTTCACTATGATCCAAGGAATCAGCTATATAATTAGAGGTTAGCCTCAATTATCATTACTACTGTTGTCACCATAAAATAAACAATGTCTTGATTGTCCATTTTTAAATAACCGCATCCAGTACAAAACGTACTTGAATCCACTAAATATCGGAGGCATCAGATGGCATCGAGAGTTGATTATGGTTTTGGTAATTTAATTATTGTCTAATTAATAATTTAGATAACATTTCAGGCCTAAAGAAAGACCTACAACTGATAATGGTCGAAAAACTTATTTCTAGTTTTGTTTTTGTATATTACACAATGTCTTGCTCCATTTAAATAACTTAAAACTTTGACACTATTTGAATGAAAATGTCACGCTATGCCAATATTTCATCTAGTATAAAATAATGTACGATTGGTATGTTGCCCATACAGTATTTAAAATAATATCATGTCAACATCAAAGGACAACGTCACATCTGTATTATAAACCCCTTTAATCATACCAACCTGACCCAGTACACCACTGACAGGAGCAAGTCTGGGAGGGACTTGCTCAACTTCCTTATACACTGGTGAAGAATAACACCTTGGATTTGTAACATTACTATTCTCAATGTGGACAGAACAGCATTTCTGACAAACCAAACTACAATTTGTTACAGAATGGGAAACAACTGTCTCTAAATTCATACGATGATCTGTAATCGAACTCGGGGTCATAAATTCTTCTGTGCTTGGATTTGATTCTGATCTTGAAGAAATATGGGTGCAATCCACATTGACTCGATTTGGATTATATTTCATCTCACGTGGATCATCAGAATATTTAGGGACAGGACTGTATACACCACTTTGATCCATATCTGCACAAACCGTCCTATAGCTGAATTCATTCAAGCAAGTTGCGTTGAAATACATATACCATTTTAGTCTGAAAAGACAAACAATTCTAAATACAGTATTAATCCTAGACTGCAAGTTTCTTATACAAGTACATGTACATAGCACATGTTGGCTGAATTTTTTTGGCAGCACATACATGGAACTCTCTGCGACTACATCTAAGGACTGCTACATCTCTAAGCGGCTGCCAGACAGGATACGCCCACATTTTGCAAGAGATGGATAGAGAACAAGTTAAACAAAAAGCGATTTTTTGTAACATCAAGGGACATAATTCACAAAGAATGCTTTGTGAACTCAGGTCCAGATGTTTACACTATTTGAGTAGAGGGGCGGCCATTTTTCGTCTGATTTTCACAAAATTCGAACTCAACCAACATTACAGTGTAACGGTGATATATTCGAATAGTTTTTTAAATCAGATAATAATTGTGACCTCTTGAGGGATTTCTCGTACAATTAGATCAGGGGACATACATTGTAATTCAGGATGTTACGATCTGATATGCGCAAATATTGAAAGCAGCCAACATCTTTGGGTTATAAACATGCATTTCAAGTTTCATCAAAATTGGATCAAAATTGTGACCTCTAGAGGGCCCACAACCTTGATATACCAGATGTTTACACTATTTGCGTACGGGGATTTTAAAGTAAGTGACATTTTTACATACAAACATTTGTCTACATATAGTAGGGTGCCCCTACATATTATAGTAGGGTGCCCCTACATATAGTAGGGTGTCCCACACAGCCAAATTTAACCTCTAAGAAATTTGGTCATACCTTGAGGTGTTGAATGTCCAAAGACGAATTTCTCATTGACGACGAAACAGGCTCTGGCACACTGGGAGCTCGTGCTCAGAGCAAATATTCACTATATATGGACATGCACGTGGGAAAGGGAAGTTTTGATACTGCTTATTAAAACTAGATTTCTATGGACGTTTTATAGATGACGTTTTCATAGTCTGGACGTACACACTAAACGAATTTTGGATGTTTTTTAACAATCATCATCCATCTGTCAAATTAACGCAAATGTAAGTCATAACAGCACAGATTTTCTTGACATCAATTACTGTTCAAAAGCTCCTTTCACCCAAAACATATATTCTCTGGCATCATAAAATTTCAGATTCTCCGTTTCCATAGGATATGTACTCAGAAAGTCGACTTTCAGTCAGCATGTACACTGGTATTTAGCAAACTAAGATAAAGGGGATACTCCAAACGCAATCTCCGATGTATAAAAAACAAGCCAACAGTGAGGCTGAAATCTCCAAATAAATATATGAAACATATATTAATCGCACATTTATTTTTTTCAAAAACATCAAGCAATCAAACTGATTATCAACTATTCACTAAGTTTCATCACTCTCTATCAGATAGAATCAAATTTATCTTGTCCCAAAGCAACGTCCAATGAAATTGCTTAGCTCTGCTTAGCTTAAGTTTAAAATATTAATCATTGAACTCAGTCAAGACATTCACCTAATGAACATCTACATCAAGTTTAAACATTCTACCTCAATTAAAGCAGAGTTGTTATGTTCTAAAGTCTTGACCAATCAAATTGCTTATCGCTCATTAGCCTAAGCAGAAAATACTCATCATCGAATTTAGTCAAGGTAATGAATCTATTCTCATCATCGCACTTAGAATGTTGGAATTATCTTGAAAAAGAAAAACAGATAGTCATTACCACTGAAAGCATGTAGGCCAAGATATTCTCAACACTTCAATACTAATCTTGATTGGATCAAAAAATATATCAAGATTAGTATTGAAAGTCTCGAGAATATCCCAGAACTGAAAACAAACGAGCACATCAAAATAGCTTACTCCACTTTGCATTGCAAATCATGGCGGCGCCGAAACAAATAATTATCCTCGCAAACAATGATCCAACCAGCGGCTGCCAGGCAGGATATAGACTTGAGGCTCAGTGCAGGGGGTGGGGTCCATCAAATGGGCACAAAACCAGACCCAAATTTTGCGTAGAATACGATGCCGAGAGGTAATCAGTCCGCCGTTGGGGCGTTTTCGAGATATTCGGGGTCAAAGGTCAAATGAGTTCATTTGCACTGAAAGTGAATGCGCAGTCATTCTTGTATTATAAAAGGAAGCTGAAAATGATCGAAAGTAATCACACTTTCAATGAAAATGTAAACTTGCTAAATTCACCTTTATTATTAGTGACCCTGGAGGTCAAAAGGTGAAATTTACCGTTTTTGCACTAGGAAGATTTAAAGCTAAAAAATGTCAACGTAAAATAAAAAAATTAAAGCGAAACCTGTTCTAATTAATAATGGGAACATTTCAAATTTATCTTTAGGTGGTCTTAGCACCGAACTTTTACTTTGGAACGTCGAAAATGATCTTGCATAACAGAACCAACACACTTTGAAACCTGTTTCAAAAATACGTAAAAACTGTCAAATCGAAATCTCTCCGATTTATTTTTACAACGATTGTTATACATAATGATACTAGTTATCTGAAAAACAATTGAATAGTTTCAGTGTTGGACTGCAGCGTGCAGGTCGCATGGATTTCCGAGAATCCCAGTCTAGGAAAACCGACCTTAATCTGTGACGGGAAAACACGCATCTGGCGACAAGATTAAAAGTTTGAAAACTTTTTATGAGTTTTTATGAATTTCGCCGGAACATGGACGCAGATAAAACCGACGAATGCATTGTGTATTGTATATATGTCGTATTGGTAAATGTTAGAGGGGAAAATTTTGACAGGCTTTGTGACGCGGCCTGCAGGCTGGAGTCAAGCCATGGAACTATTTAATTGTTTTTTTCAGACAACTAGTATCATTATGTATATCATTCGTTGTAAAACTAATTCGGAGAGATTTTGATTTAACAGTTTTTACGTATTTTTGAAACAGGCTCGAAGCGTTTTGGTTCTGTTATGCAAGATTATTTACGTCGTTCCAAAGTAAAAGTTTGGTGCTAAGACCACCTAAAGATAAATTTTAAATGTTCCTATTATTAATTAGAACAGATTTCGCTTTAGTTTTTATATTTTACCCCGACATTTATTACTTTAAATCTTCCTAGTGTTGAAACGGAAAATGTGACCTTTTGACCTCTGGGGTCACAAAGAACAAAGGTGAATTTAGCAAGTTTACATTTTTATTGAAAGTGTGATTACTTTCGATCATTTTCAGCTTATTTTCATGATACAAGAATGACCGCGCATTCACTTTCAGTGCAAATGAACCCATTTGACCTTTGACCCCGAATATCTCGAAAACGCCCCAACGGCGAACTGATTAACACTCTGCATCGTATTCTACACAAACTTTTACTCTAGAAAAGTTGGGTCTGGTTTTGTGCCCATTTGATGGACACCCCCCCGTGCTGAGCCTCCAGACTAATACACCCACATTTTGCAAGAGATGGTTAGAGAACAAGCTAATAACAAACGGGATTTTTTGTACAATCAGGGGCAATAATCCAGAAAGTTATGGTCTGAAATGTGCAAATATCAAAAGGGACTGAGATCTTTGGGATATAAAGATATGTTTTAAGTTTCATCAGGTCGACAACCTTCGTATTGCATAGTTTTACACAATTTGCGTACAAATAGCGTCCATTTTGTTGGGCAGTTTCATTTCGATTTTCCCGAAATTCGAATTCAACCTTTATTATGGTGGAATGGTGAAATATTTAAACGGTTTTTAAAATCACCCAAAAAATTTGTGACCTCTAGAGAATCGGTAAGCTAAAGATAGGTTGCCAGGCAACAAAACATACGCCCACAGCAGCTAAATCGTCCGAGCTGTCGACAAGGGTTGTCACATATTTATTCTTTTGTGGGTAATTAGGGGAATTTAATAGACAATTTCATACAGATGACATTATAATTTTCGTCGTTTGAGGGTTCACAAGGTTCTAAAAACTAAAACAAGTGCCGTAACTCTGGAAGTAATCTACAGAAATTGTTGAAATTCGACAGGCTTTTTCATTTTACTAATTCAAATAATGCATATAAATTTCATACAGATCGGATGATAACTTTTGTCGCTCGAATGTTCACAAGGTTCAACAAAGTAAAACAAGGGCCATAAGTCTAGAAGTAATTGATGGATATTGCTGACATTCAATAGGCTTCTTTATTTCACTAATTTAAATGATGCATATGAATTTCATACAGATTAGGTGATAACTTTTGTCGTTCAAGCGTTCACAAGATTCAACAAAGTGAAACAAGAGCCATAACTCCAGATGTAATTAACAGAAATTTGCTGAAACTCAATAGGCTTGTTCGTTTTACTAATTTAAATGATACATATAAATTTCATACAGATTGGATAATAACTTTTGTCGTTAGAGCATTCACAAAGTACAACAAAGTGAAACCAGGGACATAACTCACAGTGTAATTAATGGAAATTGCTGAAATTCAATAGGATTCTTCATTTCACTAATTTAAATGATGCATATCAATTTCAAACAGATCGGATGATAACTTTCTCATTAGAGCGTTCACAAGATTCAACAAAGTGAAACAAGGGCCATAACTCTAGATGTAATTAACGAAAATTGCAGATATTCAATAGGCTTCTTTGTTTTACTAATTTAAATGATGCATATAAATTTCATATAGATCGGTTGATAACTTTTGTCAAGGTGCAAAAAAGTGAAACAAGGGCCATAACTCCAGAAGAAATTAACGGAAGTTCGTGAAATTAAATAGGCTTCTTCATCTCACTAATGCAAACAACATATATCAATTTCAAAACAATCAGATGATAAATGTAATCTGTAGAGTGTTCACAAGACATTGTGGACGGACGGACGGACCGGTGCGACGGCGATATACGACCACATTTCTTTGTGGGCGTATAAAAATGCCATTTTTCGAACAATCAGGGGGCATAATCCAGGAAGTTAAGTTCGGGTATTTTTTTTAAATCAGATTAAAATTGTGACCTCTAGAGGCACCTCAAGCTAAAAACGTGATTTTTTGTACAATCAGGGGCCATAATTCTGGAAGTTACTA